GAAAGAGACCCGTGGGTTGAGATAAGAACAGTTTAATACTACTAATAATAACATATGAATATATACACGTATAATGATAATAATATATGCAAACAAGTGATGCACAGTGCAATTGCTCTCCACCCCTTGGCCAAGGCCTGTCCCGTCCTGGCAAATGATCTCGAAACAGATAAGTCCCGACACCGCAATCCCGGATGAGTGAGAGGTATGAAAAGAGAGCGAGAGAGAGAGCGCTCCAAGAGTCTGAGAGTGAGAGCCCCGAAAGAGCAAAAGCCCTTCTTTCCAGCTGTCCCTCATTTTTATACTGGGCATGACGCTGCATGATATGGAATACTCCATTGGCCAGTTTGGCCCTCAATCCTAAATCTAAGTACAAATCACAAGGGGAGTGGTGGACCCTCTGTCTCGGCCATGCTCCCCCCAGCCTCCTGTGCTCCTGCACACTGGCACGAACAGGGGAAGCTGAAAAGTCCTTGAGACCTCAGTGCCAACTATAAACATCAGTGCGCTGTCAACATTCTTATAATGAATCCCAGACTAAAACCAAAACACGGAGTTCTTCTAGCTGCTAAAAAGAAGAACTAACTGTCTCAGCTGAAACCAGGACAAGGCCTCCCAATCAAACTTTGGAAGAGCGAAAAAAAGCGGCCATAGACCCATGTGCTGCTGAATGAGACTCTTAGGCGCTTTTAGAAAGTGCCAGATGCTTTCAGTCATCTAGTTCAGCCCTGTTGCAGCCAAGGTGCCAACTTCCCAGATGTAAAGACCACTTATTTTCTTTATTCTTTATTCTTATACTTCTATTTTCAAATCTAAGTATTTTTATATATAGTATTTTTATTTCCTTTTGCAAATGAAACAAATTTTATTTCTTCCTGCATGAGTCTGTTTTCCTCGTGGGGAGCAGAAAATAGCTAGAGCAACCAAGAGGCAAAGAGGAAAACAGCCTTTGCCTATAAATTAGTTTTCACTGGCTCCTTTGTTCCCCAAAGGCCGTAGCTGATTGTGGGTTAGGAAGAAGTACAGCAATTTGGGATTATGCATGGATAAAACAAGAATTATTCTCAGGAGCTGATGATATGTCATCATATATTACAATCCCACGGATATGAATTTGGACTAGGATTGTGGAGGCAAAGTTCAGCACATCTGGCAAATAATTTACAGTGTAAAATGATCATCTTTATTGAAGAACATCACCATGTAGACAGGGGAATTAGGGCAAATAAACTCTGGTGATTTATAGGTTACTACAGCAGTCGACATTGAAGGAGGCAGCAGACTGGGTTTCATTTACTGCCCAAGATACTGGGATATGTGGTGAGTAGATAGAGGCTATTTTTGGTGTGCTGCTACTGCTTTCCTTCTAACAGACTCCACCCCGGTGTAATTAATTGGCCAGTTAGCAAGGTTGTGCGTGCAGCTGGGGACGTTTTGGCTGTGCTGCTGTGCCAGGGACAGGCTGTGCAACGGCCGGCTGCAGCTCAGAAGGGGCTGCCACCACGGCTCATCAGCACGCCCCCAACGAGCACTGTGATGGCCCACCAGCACTACCGGCACAAAAAGCACAGCCGGGCATGGCCTCCTGGCTGTCTTTGCCATGCCTGGAGGTACTTCACCAGGACACAAACCTGTTGCTTTAAGTAAGAGCTCTTGCTTTGCAAATCTGTGCTCTTTTCGGTGAGCAACCAGTTGTAATTACCAACCTCTGATATGGAAAGATACCTTGAAAGTGTAATTGGAAAAATAAAGACGTCATGTCCTTCTGCAATAAAAGATAACGTGACCATGTATAGCAAAGCCATTAAAAGGCATCTCGTTCAAGGTTTTGCTCCTTCTAAGGACAGAGAGAGAAACACAGTGAATAAGGAAAATTACAGTATTGCAGATAGGGCTTTGGTTTAGGTTCCTGAGGACCAGGAGGAAAGAAGAAACTGCTCGGGCCGCTGGAACGCAGGCGCTGCTCGGTGCCATGCTCAAAGCGCTGGGGAAAGTGGTGGAAGGAGATCTCTTGCACAGAGGTGAGGAGATAGCGGTGGTGAAGCAAAGACTGCTTGCTGTGCCACCGGGAAACATTCTCCTTTCCCAATGAATAAACCCTGTGCTTGGGCTCCATGGAAGAGGACTTCCAAAACCAAAACAAGCCACAAACACGATGCTCCATAGATTACTTTTAAAAATCTTTTTAATGAAGAAATAATTCCATTCCAAAATATAGACACACAATTAAATAGTTTAATCACTTCAAAATATAACATGTCCCCAGTAGGTTCCAACACACACACACACAACAATACTTAACAGCAATACAAAAACCCCATACAATAGCAGTTCTGTTACAATACCAATGAATATCATGACATCTTTAGTGTCTCTGTATCTGTCTCAAGTGGTGTCAAGTACAGTAGTTTTACAAATGTCTTACAGTTAGTACCCTCAAGATGTAACTCTTCATACTTTTTTTTTTTAATTTTTGGTTCAAAAGTAAAAATGCCCTTTTGTCTTCAGGACACAGTGGAGTGCTTGCTGTTCACAGCTCCGTCTGCTGAATTGAACCAACGCGATTACAGCAACCCGAGGTTGCGATATTTACAAGGTCTATCTACAGCAATTGCCAAAAACCAATAAGGATGGGAGAAGATGACTGAAAGTAAAGGCAGACACACTTAAGATAAATTATGATGCAACAATTTGGCTCATGCATATAAGAAAATACATATTATATCACAACAAAGGCCACACACCTTTTTATGCAGTTTAGTTAACATTACTACTTACAGACAACCCATTCTCCACCTTCGCTTTGGACATTCGAGGACCCTATACATCTCCACATCCCTGTCTCCTGATTCCAAACCACTGGTTTCCCTCCAGTGACAGTAAAACCACCTGGAGTTTTGACTGCTGTGGTGGGCCATTGGTAGTTACGAAAAGGCCCATGCCAGGGACCTCTTCGGTAACCCTGTTTGTTTTAATGACCACCAACCACAACCAAAACAATATTCGACAAGCAGACAAAGACCAGCTGGGCAAAAAGGCAGCCAGCTTAACAGTTGGAAAATGCTTAAAATAGGTATTTGAAGAGCCAAGAAAGAGGTGCTTCATCTCAGAGCTCCAGGGCATAATGGACCCAGAGCTCTGCTGGGAATCACCTTGTTGACACCAGCCTGAGAGAAAGGCGCTTGATCCATCAACTTTTTTCCCTACTCCTAGTCCGGGAGCCCTTGCAATGGATTTATTCCATTGCATCTACTTTAAGCATAGCAATAATGAGCACGCAGACATTAAGATGATGGGAGGGATACATTACTCTGAGTACAGTCAAACATGACATGGGTTGAATTAGTCAGCCATTGCACGTAGCTGTGTTCTAGCTTGTTTTATCTCTGTTCAGGAAATGCTCATCTGGAATCCTGAGCTGACAGCAACATCTACAGCTTCACTGGAGTAGCTTTAAATGTGGAGTGCTAGGCACTAGTGGAGGCTCACCCGTTCCTGAGAGGAGGTTGGAGGAGGGGGCATTGGAGGATATGGTGCCTGCCTTGCCGGGATGGCACACACCCCAGAAGCAAAGACCAGTGATTGCAAAAATGAAAAGTTTACATGAAGATATCTGGATGCCTTAGTATGCATTTGGATGTCTGAGACCAAGTCCAGATACGCAAGGAGATGTGGATAAGAGATCTGCATATGCAGTAATACAATATGAAAGTGAAAAATGGCAGCAGCTCTTTCATACAGATACTCATTCCCTAACACATAGTGCCCAGGGAAACAGCCACGAGCCTAGAGAGTGCATGCAAACTAGTGGACTCACTGGGTCAAGCTACATAGCAATCTCACGTAAATAGGGTAGCGCACAGCCACATCACCATGAAAGCGAGGACGGACAAACCATGTTAACCTGCTTTAGATGGGTATCTCGTCACTTGCTGTAGGCAAACTGTGCTGGTGTGAAATATCTGTATGAAACGCTACTGTTTTCAGGGCTGTTCGACAGTGTCACTTCAGGTCAGCCAGATACTGGAGGCCATAGTGTTGTCTTAGGGCAGTACTACCACGTTAGCTCGTTAGCACAGAGGTCGTCCCGAGCTAACACACGGTGCTTCTCAGGAGGGCTCCGCGTGTGACATTGCACTGGTGTTACTGCCCTGCTTCTGGTCCAGCTGTTCCCGGCCTGGCTCTGATTTCTCTGCACGGCAGCGCTGTGTGCCATACAGGCGCCACCTTTATTTCCAAGCAGTATGCTGTGGGGACGACATTCCAGCTAGTTTGTGTCAACCCCTGCTCAGGAGTATCTGTAGGTCACAGCAGAGCAAACACTTTTTAGCTAGCAGTCTGCCCAATCCAAAATGGCCAGGGTGGTCCCCTTTCTCCTGAAATGCCTTTATACTTGAAAAATACTAAACCGGGCAAAACTCCAATTCTGTACCTGTATGCCTGTCCTTCCGAAAAAATCCACCACTTCTCTTGTGCTTTTCACTGATAGCTATTTCTCCATCCAGCTCCGAAAGAGTCTCACTACACGTTTCCAAGAGTGCATGCAGAACATCTGGTGGCTGGCTAAGGCAATACACATTTGGAAATCAAAAGAAAACAGTTGCAAGCGCACTTTAAGCCTGTACATTTAAAGCTGAAGGCCTCGAAAATAACATAACGGAGGGGGGCGAGTAGGAGGGGCAGAGAGATGGACAGAGCCGGTTTGTTGAACACATGCTTACTCAAGCTAAAACATCAATGAAACAATACCATGGAGGATTATACATAACATTAGTCAGTTCAGGGATCTTATGGCACCTGTGGTTTATAAACAGCTTTAGCAACGAGTATTTCAAAACATAGTTCACAGTTTTAAGAAGATCTGTGCTGATTTAAAAACTAGATTCTATATCATTTGAATGTCACCTTTTGTATATGATCTATTTGGAAAAAAAATATTTACACTAACTTCTATGGCTGATTTGTTAGATTATTTTGAAAGAAACATTCCTAAGTTACACTTTAGCCCTAAATTAGAGAGTTTTTTTTATTAATATTATTAGTTATATTATTATTATTATTATTATTATTATTTTAGTACATTTTGCATAAGTCTTAACTTAAAGACTTGCAAACAAATTGCAAATATAGTCTGGTACTTTGTTTTTTGGGCTACTAGATATATACACTCAGGAGCATAATCATTCAGTGTTAAATGCATAATTGTAGCTTTTTATTTCTTCTGTGGAAAAAATGTACAGTGTATAGTAAACCAATCTACTAAAATCTCAAAGTATTCAGAAATCAAATTTCTATCTATAAACAGTATTGTCATTGTAAACTGAACAGGTTTAATATCATGTGCAAAGGGTTTACGTGAGTCGTTAATGCCGCCATCCTTTGTAACGGCGGTATGTACGTCAGTCTGTTTTCTTCCCCGGTAATGAGCCATGTTACAGAAGATGTAGCTAATGTAAGTTAGCTTTAAACAAAAGTCTCGTTGTCAAAAACACACATCTACAAACTACAACTCTTAGAACAAAAGTACTGTGCTACAGTCCTCAGAACTTAGTTATGTGATTTTTTCGTCAAGAGACGCTGCACCTCTTGGTTCCACTCTTCTGTGAAGTTGGCAGCTGAGTTTTCTTCATCGTCTGTCCGAAAGCAGCTCTCCTCGTCGTCAGTTCTTACGTAGCTTTCATTGTCTGTCTGACTGCAGCTTGCCTGTGGAGAAACAGTTAGGGAAGGTTTTTAAGAAGAGCGCTGGTTTCAGATGCTGCAGGTGTGTGCACAAACCCACGCACGCAGAGCAAATAAAGCCTCTGCCTGCTGCTTTACTGAGAGACAAAAGGACGAGCTGGCCAATTCCTGTGGTTATCCTTGAAAAAGTTAAAAGAGTGAAAAGGCCATTCTACTGCGGTGAGCCATAGGTATCTCAGCTGTAAACAGAAACTTACAGGGCACCTGGGAAGGTGGAAACTCTTCTTACCAGGGGTCTGCATTAACACAGATTTGCAGGCGTGCCCATTTTCCCTTCCATTTTGCTCTTCCAGGTTCCTCTATAAATAGGTTCTTGGTAGCGAAACCACAGATTATTCCCCTTGTGCACAGTGTTCAGCTGCCTAGTTAAGAGTCATTCATCATCAGGATTCCCCCCTCACGTGTATACGTCTCACTCTTAACTTACATGCTCAGGTATATTGCCTTATGCCTAAAAAGAAATGGAGTTACTTAAAAGGATGATTCTGGGTGCTGTAGCTCACAAACAGAACAGCCTAATCTGCTGGTGCATCAATTTCTCCTTGGTGCTTCTCTGTATCCTGAAGCATCGGCATCTTAAATTCCTGTATTGGAGGTATCAAAGTTTTGGTAATGGAAAATGCTTGATAGACAACTGCTGCCCCGTCTCAGAACTATGTTAGGATCTACAGTCAGGTAATATTGCAAACTTTTTTTTTTGGCATATTTTTGGTAAAGGCACTGTTTACACATCTGACCCTTTCAAGATTAAGGAGCTCATCCTTTTACTCTGGAACTACCTCAGACAGAAAACCAATCTGTATCGCATGAGATCTGACAATAACAGCATAGAAGAACTATGGCATCCAGTCATTATTAGCCAGCTGGATTGAGTTGAATATAATGAACTACTAATTAAATAATCAACTCAAGGTACCAACCCTGCCTACAAGAGGCAGGCCATTTCCTCCTGGCTGCGGAAGATGCAACAGTGTCCTTGGTGCCACAGCCCAGGCTGGTGAGCGACAGAAGAACAAACCCTACTGACATGAATTCTCTTCTACTTATAAAGCTGGTCCCCAAGATGAGAGATGAAATGCAAATTACTTCAGCTAAATAGAGTTAAATTAAAGCTGATGAATGAAGAAAGGTCAGGTAGTTCAGCTTGCTGCTTCTCCTTCCTGACACCATTTGATTGTATTAATTATTCAAACACAAATGCTTCCATCCAATTCCTTAATACTTAAGCATGCCAAATGGTATGATGATCTTAATTTAGTATCTCCTTGTGTCTGGCAGCTATAAAAGACCTGGCGTTAACATTTTGTTGATAAATGGGAAGGAAACCTGCTCTGCAAGTCTAATGACAGATTCACAAAAAATTTCAGAGGTACGTTTTAAACGAGTACTTTTGAAAAATCAGACATGCATCTGCACTGCTTCAGTCTGCAAACTAATTTGGAAATCTTAGTAAAGCAACATTTTGCTCTTCACGATTCAGCCAAAAAATGCAAATGAAAGGCATGGAAGAGGTCGGTTCTCAGCTGCCTGAGACTGATTTTTATTTAATCAATTTCAGGGTTATGTAAATATAGGTATATCTCATATTTCTTGATGGTATCATTATAAACCACAAGAGCAAAATAAGAGTGGCTTGTAAGATGCATTGACAGTACTGCCAAGTATTTGGGTTTGTTTCGAATTTTCTGGATAAATTGCTTCTCTTTGGCAGAGTTTGGACAGGTTACTCTAAATTCTCTCTTCTCTCTGTTCCACAGCCAGCATTGGGATAGAAAGATTTTCATACAAGAAATAATGAGTACTAATAAACTTCCAAGCCCTAAATTCATTGCAACATTTTGGAAATGCCGGAATTAATTCCAAGTTAAGACTCATCCGATTTGTCATGTTATCAAACTTGTTACTTGACCTTTTTGTAACTTGATCTACAGGTTCTTTTCTGTTACTTATCATTCAGTGATTTTCAAAACCCATCTCTATCACTTGTGTAATTTTAGAATTAAATTCACAAACTAAAGCTGCTTCTTCCCAGTTAACTCAGTCACAGTTCTTTTACAGCTTTTTTACACCTACATGCTAAGAAGAGGAGGACTTCAAGAGAAAAATAAAGAGGAAAATCAAAATATAGTTGAGTGAATGTAGCAGACATTTCTGAAAACTCCTGTGCTGTCAGCCTGCTGTTGTTTTCAAATGAAATTGTCGACATGATGCTGGTTTTTATGTATTTGTTCAGAAAACAAACAAAAAGAGATGCTGAATAATTTGGTTGTCCTAGTAGAATATGACTTATGGATGTAAGCAGTTTATCTAGTGCCTGCATCCTGCTTCTTCACCACTGCATCAGTGACTTCGGAGGGAGAGGGTGAAGAAATGGGGCTTGCTGAGGCTGGGGCAGTGGTGGCAAGGGAGGACCAGTTAGCAAATATTTGAGGGGTAGTTACAAGGATAATAAAGCCAAAACCTTCTTGGTAGTGCTGAAGCACATAAAAAGGACAAAAAAGACAAACTGCATTTTAGGAGGTTCAGGGTGGACATTAAGGGAAAAAAAAAACACAAGGAGGGTGGCACTGTACTAGAGGAGGATGCCCAGGGAGGTGGTGAAATCTCCATTCGTGGAAGTTTTCAGGTCTTTGCTAGACAAAGCCATGGCTGACATGGTCTGTGCTGGAGCTAGATTGGTGTCAGGCAGGAGAGTGGACCAGATGACCTTCTGAGGGCCCAATCAACCAAGGCACCTACACCACTGTGATCTCCTGAGCTCTTCCCATGAAGCCCATGCTGGGAATCAACCGCAGCGCATAAGCTTTAAAGGCAGCCAGTCAACTCTGATGAGCAGTTTGGAGTCCTACAGCCAAAGCAGGGCCAGGGCACAGCTGGGAAAGGTGACCTCAGGCAGTGGGCACGGCAAATCTGAAATCCACACGTCCATTAACTGTGGGCTAATAACCTGACTGGGATCCCAGCCTACGGATTCTGTGTCCCGTTCTTCCCAAACGGTAAATGGCTGGGTCCATGTTGCAAAGGGCTGAAAATGTCAGCAGCCAGTGAAATGCACACTAGCTTTAAAACCTTATTTCCTTCCCCGAAAAAAACAGAGGTGCAGGGCAGTTGTGTCTTCACAGCACTTAAACGAATTGTCTGTGCCCTTTGGTTTAACCAACAGCTGCATTGATTAGATCATCTCCCCTGGCCCATGGGCTTTATCACCTGACGTTTGGCAATATTCCTAATCTCTGCTGGTAAACATGAAAACGGAGTTTGAAGAAAAAGGGAAAAGATGAGAAAAACATGAAAGTGTTAATCAGACTTCTGTCCTGGAAAAACAGTCGAGTTGAATAAACAATAATCTAACAGTGCATTCATATAAAAAAGTTGAAGGGATTTGGGGTTTCTGTGCTTGAAAAATTTCCACCTGTTTCAATACAAACCATTCAGTCATTTTTGCATTGGAAAATGTCACTCCTGGCCACACAAAGACCCAGACCGCACAATTCGTGTGACAAGGTTTAGAGCAAGTGAAAGGGTTTGGAGCGGGAACAGAACTGAGTCTTCAACTTGAATTATTACATGCTTTTATCAACATTGAGAAAATGTGATTGCATTTAAAAAATTGAGAACAAAACCTCTAACACAGACTCCTCCCTGTACTCCCTCTTAAGTCGATGCTTTAGGTCTGATTTTTGTCAGTTTTTCACACCTTCTTTTCTGTTATAATAATGCATATAAATGAATTAGACACGACCAACTAAAACATTGCTAATCCAGCACTAAGAAAGCACTGCTTTAGAAAATCTAGGAAATTGTAGGTCTAGTGGGAACATGTCTACTGCACAAGTCGACAGCTCTTCATTGAAAATGACAACTTTTTAATCACTTTCAGAGATGGAAGCTTTCTGCTCACATTGGCCATCCTTCACAAAAAAGCAACTGCTATCAGGGCGATAAAGGCAAAATAAGGTCAAAGTTGCACATTCACCTAATTTCAAGATCTGTCTAGAGTAATTCACTCTGCTACTCTATTAAAAATAAACCAAGTGGTATTAAAGTACATTTAATATAAAAAGTAAACTGAAAACATGATTAAATTATGTTTGATATATTACTGGAACCACTTGATCTCTTGGGAATTTGTTAGATGTTATTTCAAAATCAATTCTAGTGAATTGTACATAACACTTTCAAAAATGCAAGTGCAAATAGAATGCAAAAAGCCTTGTCAAATGACATCAACACCACTTGTCCATGACTGATAAACTAGGAAATGAGCAAAACCCTGTGGCTAGCCTTCAGTGGCAGGATCACTCATAAGCTATAATAAACTGTTTCTACTTTTCCCACCTTTTTTAAAATAAGCACAAATGTAATACTGTTATGAGACAAGAAAGTCTACTGGCTTTCTACCTCATATGGCCATCTAGGTGATATAATACTGACTGTATTTGTATAATCATTGATTGAATGATATTATGTCAGAAGCAAAAGTCTTGATGCAATTGCTAAGCAAGAACCCAACGTAAACAGCAAAAGCGCTTTAGACATTGTGACTGGTATGAACAATTTGGGATTTAATTTTCCAAGGCTATGAAATATCAGCACCAAACAAAAAGCAGAAGATACTTTAATCTTCCATATTCACAAAACTGAATCTTGAAAAGACTAAGCCACGCTTATCATGTGCAGATGTATTTATCACAAGGTACCACAATACAGAGTTTGTTTTTGTGGATATAGATGAAGTGCCAAGTTCACTGTTTTTTGTTGCTAATTTCTATTGGACCAGGTTATTACAAATGGTGGGAATATTTCAGTCTTTGGTACTTCAGTACGCCCTGGGAGCTAAAAAGAGTTTTACTACGGAATTAGCCAGAGCACAGTGCTTTAAAAAATTTCTTTTTGACTGGGTTTCAAAAGGTTTCAAAAGCATCCAGGAGATGAGCTAGTAGCTCAGTCTCAGATCTCTACTAATTTGAGACAGGACACACACTTCCAGGAAAGCTAGGCTGTACAGCAGTATGCGTTTCCTCACATCACTACTTTAACATTGCTTCCCAACAAAAGCAGAAACCTTAAATGGGATTGCCTGAGCTTTATAATTCCAATAAATAGGAATTTTTTTTCCACTTAATATTGCAAATGGTTTGTCTGAATGCTACTGCCTTTTAAAGTCATAGTTATTCGTAACTGTAATTCAATTCATTTATATATAACATTTCCACTATATACATAGTTATACACACATCCACTATCGTTGGAAGATCTATTTTCCTTTGCATGTAACCTGTCTATAACTGACGACAGCAACAAAATAGAAGAACACTTGTTTTTCTGGCTGTCAGTGTTTAGCAAACTCTACATGGCTTCTGTTTTTAACAAGGCTACTGAGAAAATGAATGTAACCTGAGGGGCAACATTAGGAGAATTTTTATAAGCAGTTATTTGGTGTTTATCGTACTCTGGGTATTGCTGTTTATTTGCTTTTCACATCCATTTATTCTGCTTTAGCTGCTAGAGATGTTTCAGAAACACCTAACAGCTTTTAACACTGAAGACTGGCAGCTGCTTTCACAAGGTCCACACTTCAACATCCAAATTCTACTGTCATCAGAAGTTCAAACCCCTTGAATCAGGGTCAAATTTGCCATCAAAATTGCCAGATAAATAATGGAGGTCCGGCATAAAACATGGCATACGAAATCTAGCAATGTGAATTGCTGCTGAAGTTGGCACAGGCTCGTTCACTGGTTTTGCTTATCTGAACACGATCCTGCTCCCAACTTGAAGTGCCTGTTTGATAGTTGACCTTGGCTGCTTTTAGTTCTGGCTTTGAGGAAGACTCAGTTTGGGGACCAGAGTCAGACCCCTATTTTGATTTCTCCTCCCTTTCTGGCCCTGTTACCCCATGGTTCAGTGTCACAGTAGGATGGACAGCATTGTCTCACTGCCATCTTCTCAGCAGGGCACTGCGCTCTCCTTGGAAGTCAGAAATGAAGAGTCCACAGCTTTAGATGAGGCAAGCAGGAAACGTGTGGTCTCCCATTTCCTGGGCAAACGTTCAGAATAACAGGCTACTTCATAAAAATAGCTGTTGTCTGTGTTCCTGAATAAAAACACAATTGCTGAACTTGGCATTAAATGCAGTGCTGCAACTGTGAGGTTGGCACGTGTAAAGAACGTGACCTGAATATGGGCCAGCAGGGAATTTATAGATCTGCTTGCCCAATCTCCGAATTGCCAGACTCTAGCTAGTAGCTGAGTACCTTGCACTTTGGATTGAGGCATTTTAAACTTCCATAACACATCTGAGGACACCTCTGTGGTCAAGCTTTCTCTAATGTTTGCATAACTCCTGTTTCACACGCTAGAGTAGATGTTCTGGTCTCACCAGAAATTATTTATTTCAGTTATCTTAGGAAGACTAAAGCATTGTAAGGACTTGAACTCAGGTCTCCTGAAATGTAATCTGATTCTTTATCTTCTGGAAAAGGTTTCTCTGTACTGGCTAATATATTCGTCATCATCCCCAGGGACAAAAAGCACACGTTCTCACTCTTACGGTCAACAAAGGAAGAAGTTAAAAAGGTGGTGGTGGCTTAACAGGAATCCTCAAGACTAGGACCATATTTCAAACAGATTACTAGAAATGATTTAGAGACATTCCTAGGCATCCCTACACAGCTTAAAAGAAGAAAGAAACAGCATCTCCACATACACTCAGGCAGCACAGGTGCATCGCAACTGAAATACACATTATGAGGATTCATTCCAAACATTCTTCTAAATCATAATGATACTTACTTGAGAGGAGAGAGAGAAGGATATTGCACTCAACTTTGTAAACTGACCTGTAGATACAAAGGATAGAAAACAAGAAGATGACAAATTAAGCCAGTGAGCAGCCAGGCAGTGTATTATTCTGAAGAAAGCCATGCATAAGCCTAGAAATAAAGGGAACAATTACGGATCCAGAAAATAAACCCAAAGAAAAGTGTCTTATACAACATATCCAGCAAAAGACTGTAACAAGAGCACAGCTGGTAGCAGATGTGGGAGGATAAGCACTGTTAGCATTTGCACTTGTGCACTAAATGTCTTTTTTTGGTACAGATATTTGTTATTTACAACATGCTTCAAAAAAAAGAGAGAGAAAGAAGTCTCCTTTGAGGTTCCCTGTCCCAGATTTCCTTGTGTATCTTGAGTTTTTTGCTTACACTGTAATACCAATTTAGAGTTTAGCTTGAAAATCTTGCTTGGAGACAAGGTGACACAAAATAACAAGAGTGGGTTTTGACCAATCATCTTCCATGCTACACTACATCTACACATTTTTCTAAATGTGCTGCTTTTACACAAAGTGAGACATTTAATAACATAAAAATGGTTACCATACTGTTACTGAGGTTACCATTCTGTAACCTTAGTAGGAGTTCCTCCTTGCAGATTTTTTTCAGCTGACAATTGCATTACGATAGCTACAGCCACCAGCTTTTTTTTGGCTGTCCAGATGAATGCAGTGTACATCTGAGTACAAATAGTAAAATAGCCTGTAATAAATTCCAACGGTTGGATGCAAAATGAGAATAGTTGACCTGGCTACTGTTCAATAGCATACCCTAAACAGAAATTTTCCAATTTTCCTTTGTTTTGGCAAGTAGAAAGAAAGCCGTGTCTTTATCTTTAAAGTCTACGCAGTGATACTAGCAGAAAAAAGCACAGAATAGCAAAATATCACAAATTAACTGCAAAGTGCAGAGAATGAGCCAAACCCAAAGCACATCTCTCAGGATCAATACATGACACTATGCAACCATTTCCTGATCATCCTAGTGATCCCTACTAACTTAATAGCTATTCTTGCTTGCTTTAAACCCATTCCCTAATGGAAAGGGCATCAGCCACACTGGGAAGGACTTCTCACACATCGCATACTTTGGGTCTGTGGTTATCAACTAAAAATAGTTTCTACTTACAAGTCACTACTGTCAAATTATTGCCTGGTAGGAGCTGACAATCTCACAGACAGTAAAGTACATCACGATATTTCTTTTGGAAAAATGCTATTAAACAGAACTTGTCTAGAATGAGGACTTTCTGTTTCCTCAGTGAATACATTCTGAAAGAAAAGCCTTTCTCTTTTTCTGCTTTCCCTGCCCCCCAGTGGAAACAAATCATGTAAAACAATGGGGAACAAAGTTCTCCTGAGTGGAGTCTTGGCTGACCTAAATTCAAAAGGAGTTTTATTCTGACATGGATAGGGAGATTTTCTCCCCTTCTTCTAGCAATGTTGTTGGAAGACAGTAGAAAAGCTCTGTTTTGACTGAAGCAATAGTAACACCTAGTTCTATGGAGTGACATGTATAACTTCTACTACACCATGAATGCCCTTATTTTGCAGTGCACATGCATACTCAATTTTATGCATACAGAAAATCCCATTGTAACTCGTGAAACTCATGTAACACTGTTGCCACATATTGCACTTCCATCCTGTAATCAAAGTACAGTCAAATTGGTCTATCGTTCTTTCTGGAGAAAATGGAATTTTTACCAGCAATAATAACATCTATTATTCAATGCTTGACAGCTGTCACCATTGAGGTGCTCCTTCTTTATAACTGACAATTACTTTCCATTACATCAGCAGTAGCTGCTCATCCTGTTCAGAAGTTTAAAGGCTGTCATTTTTGCTTCCTATCTTGGATAAAAAATTGTGACAAAAAACTCCATGTCATCCACTGTCATTTTACCAGATAGCCTATGACAATTTTGCTCCTGTCGTCATGTCCTTAAAGACCTTTGCAATGAAATGACTTTTGGCAAGCTACCATGGGCATGTATCAGACCTAGGTAAACAACGACAAAAAGAGACGCTCACATCAACCTCAAAACTACGTGCAATTTTTATATGAGTCAATGAACTTTAGAAGACTAACTTATCTCAGCAGCTTTACAAAAATAAGATCGAAAGAGCAGTCATTCTTCATTAGATCATGATCCTGTCAGTTCCAGATTCTGGTGTTCAAAGTGACTGGCAGTGGGCACTAGAGGAAAACTACCAGAAAAAAAGGCTAGATTTTGTTATCTCCCAGCAATCAGAAGCCTAAAGAATTCCTGCCCAGAAGGTGCTTTTGAACCTCTTTTCCATACAGCTGATCTCTCAGTACCTGCTTAATCCTTTTTTTTAGCCCATTCATACTTTTGGTTTCTGTTACATTCTGTAGCAGTGAGTTTCGAATTTTAATTTGTCACCATGTGGGAAAATAGTTACTTTTATTGCTTCAGCTCTGCTCCCAAATAACAATCGGATGTGCCCTTCTACTGACATTACTACCAACATTATAAGATGAATTTTATATTAGGATGATCCAAGTCAGAGTAACTTAAAAACTGGTGATAGTCCACTACATCTGGTAGAAGTGAAGACCATTAATGCAGACAGGACAGGATATCTACAGAATTCCATCTCCCCCTGGCAAATTTGCTTTACTCAGACTCTTAAACAAATGCCCTTTGAAAACTTCATCAGGGGGTGTTTAATGACAAATCTCCAGGATTCTCTATACTAGATGCTTGTTGAATACTTGGTCCTCTGGGATATAATTAATTTCAGACCCTTTCCTCTCCTTCCAGATTCTGACAGTGACCATAACACACAGACTGCGCTTGAGCTTCAGTTCACAGTGGAGAAACCATTATGAATGTTTTTCGCTACTAAAGAAAAAAATAATCCAAATATAGCAAGAACTCCGCTTGATACCACCAACCAGCGCCTATGGTATGGAGGAATGAGGTCTAAGTGACTTGATAGGCACCAGCAGGGAACAAGCTCTGCAGCAATTCTGTCCCACTGGATGCCCTGGTGAGCTTAAGAACTACTGTTGTGTGCCTCAGGCAGCATGGTCTTCCTGGAAATGCACAAAACCAAGATGCATGCATGGCTGTGGAAGAGAACGACAGCAGTTTTTGGAATGTGGCTGGCCTAGCAACCGAGAAAAGATCATGCCCTAGGCCCCAGGACAGGTTAAGAAGGGCGCTGGGCAGCTATGGCGCATTACTGTTTCTCACTTATGGAGATGTACAGGCAGCTCGTGTCCTTCTCCCACCTGGTATGCCTCATCCTGCAGCTTCTGCTTCAGGTACTCCTCCATTTTCAGTTCGTTCTCCAGCTGGCGGACAGAGTCATTCTCGTAATTTTCATCATCTGCTCTGACATAGGGATCTCCATCTTCTGTAACCCTAAAGACAATTATTAATAAATAGCATCCTGAGACGAACCACATTCAGAGTCAATAAAACCTCCCTTTATTGTAAGCTATAAGGAGAGCAGGATACTTTCAGTCCAACCACATGCTCCATTGGTTAGCAATTTCCTGGCAGTGGTAAATACTTCTGCTGTTTCCCCTCTCCAGTGGTCAGGTATTGATGAAGTAGACCAAAGGGCATATTCTGCTGAAGGCATTTTGGGGGTACAGCCCTACAGGAATGAGTAACAAAAGTTCTCAATAACTTGATACAAAGAGGTCGAACTAAAAATAACTGGAAAGTTGCCTATTGTCTTTGGTAGGAAGACTCAGGTTCTAAAAATAAATTGGTTCGTTGATCAATTGAGTTGGTCAATAAAAAGCATTCTGTCTTTTACATTTAAAAACTACTCTTTTTCCAGTGGACTCCAACAGGCCCCTCAGTCTGGATAAGCAGGGAATAGAACTGCTGGGCATATTACAGACCACAGCTGTCCCACAGCCTCCATGCTGCCTAAGTGTACCAGACTGGATGTGAGACAGCTCATTCCTGAGAGCATCCTTGTTTACAGAGCTCATTACTATCTAACCATGAAGCTGTCCTCACTTGGATTTAGGCTTTTTTTTTTTGGTAATCAAATAGTTGAGAGGGAGAGAAAACATTGCATGCTGCATATTGTTTTCAACAGGAAAAGAATGAGATGAAGAAGGTGAATCCAGCAGGTACCCACATGTCACTGCGGATGGAGCCAGTGGCAGCAGCGCTGTGGATGTACCCTGGCTTCCGGGCATGGATCTGGGCGAGGAAAGCCTTCTCAGACGTTGGGGACGGAACAAGGTCATCAAAATGAGTCCGTCCAAATTCAGAATCCACATTGCTTTCTGTCTCGCTGCCCACTTCTGTGAAGCAAAAGGTGACACATGGTTCCATTTAACTTTCACAGAGCAAGTGTACTTGCCTATTTCTCTAAGCCTTTCTCTGCCTTTCCAACTCAGAATGCCACTTCCTCATAGCAAAGAACTGTATATTATTCTACATATACCAGCAGAACTAATATATTTTCTTCTTGTGGTGTGACAGAACAGTGAAGCTTTAAGCTTTGCTTATCTTAGTTTTTTTATGTAGGACATTTTTATGAGAATACTACAGATTGCATTTTACAACAGGTCGTGTATGTTCTACACTGAATGACATTTCTAAAGAGCGAAATCCCACTCCACATGGAATCACAAACAAACTTCTCAGAATTTTCACTGTACCCAGCTGAACCCCTATGTCCATGGCTTTCAGAATTGCTGTATTCCTGACGCTGTTATTTAGGTGTTGCTTTTTTTTTTTTCCAAAAGCGTGAAAATCTTTGCTTTTTTGTTGGCTTATACATCCCTATCTCCCATTTTTCAAATATATGTGAAATGTCAACGTGGTGACGATCCACCCTTGTCAGCCTCACTCACCAGAATTTAGTTCTTTTACCAAAGAAGACATGGTGTTGGTGATTGAATCTGCTGCCACCAGCAAATCATTTCTTAAGTTTCGTCTTGCACCTGAAGCAAAAGACAGACAAAGCACAGTGTTACTATTCTTCACAAGACATATGTTTTTCTGTTGAAAGCAGTTTTAACCCTGTTGAAAATGCCATTGTGATAATTCAGGGTATCAATATCCTTACAAGGGACACGTGCAGAAGAGTTCTCTGCAGAATGGCCTCATTTACTTGTGCTGTATGCAAGAGCAGAAGTCTGCTCTCATGCTTCATTTAATCACAATGCCAGATACGTGGAGATTATTCATTGCCATCAAGCTTGCATTTGTGTAGTGACACCAGCAGACCAGGCCTGGAAGATTAAATCCAGCGTGAACTCATTTGCAGTGTCTGTGGGGGAGGAGGGAAGAAATGAAGTGTTTTCTCTAAGTTCCCACAGCTCTTTAATGACACCATTATTGCCAGGTATTTGCCAGATAATTATGGCAAATGTTGAAGAAACACACTTGACCTCATCAAGACTGATGTGGATTTTTCTTCTCTGCTCCATCTCAGCCTCTCCTGTAGCTCAAGGACTTTCTTGCATATTCCATAATTTACTTTCTCTCTCTCTCTCTTTTTTTAAAATAAAGGAAACACTATTGCCTCTCTAAACAGCTCCAGGCTGCTTTTAAACTCTTTCTAATAACAGATCTAGAAGTGC